ATATGCCGGGTGCCCGGCCTGACCCCTGGATGAGGGTGGGACAGCCCCCAAGGTGGGGACCCTCCACCTGGTCCAGCTAGATGGGGAGTTGGGAGAGCCTGGGGTGGCTTGTGCTAAGGTCTGAGAGAAAATCAGCGCGGGTGATGTGTGCCCAGAGAAGGGAGTCGCTTCTCCTCACATGGGGGAAGCTTCCAGACTGTTCAGAGGCCCCATTTATTGAACCCTTACCATGAAGCTGGCGTAGGCCAAGCAAGGGACATGTCGGATTCTCACGCCATCCCTGTGAAATATGAGCTGCTTTTGCTTTACAGAAGAGGAAACTGAGGCACAGAGTGGCGCCTCAGAGTTAGCTGCAGAACTGAGGTTCAAATCCCAAAGCCGTCCCTCCTCCAGGGGATATTTTGCTCTCTGGGAAAGCACTACACCTCCCATCTTCATTTCTACCTCCTCTTTCTCCAGAAAGTTCTCACTCAGCCTCTCAAGGTCACCCCTCCCTTCCTGCCTTTGTGTGGTTTCTGCCCAGGTGGCTGGCCCCGTCTTTCTTTTTCCCTTTGCCGCCTCTGCCTGCCACCATCAAAGCCCAGGGAGACTTTCTCTGGGGCAAGACTCTGAGGCCTTTCTTTCCCAGGTAGCATCTCGGGCTCCTTGGTTTCTTGGCCGCGGTTCATCCTGGTGGCTTCTCCTTTCTCGAAGGCTGCCTGTGACTTTGGCCACGTGACTCTAGTGGGGGGCAGCGTCAAGCCTCGTGTGGGCGGGCCACGTGGCAGTTGCCCTGATATGCTCACCTCCTTCATTTAGAGGGGATCTCCCGTCTCCCACCTCCCTTCCTGGGTCATCTTCTGGGCCACGTTCCTACCAGGTGATCCCGTCCTCCTCTCCCCGAGGGACTGGGCTGCTGGGGCCGATATGTGATCCAGGGGGAGGAGGAGTCTGTCAGTGGGGGGACTGCTGTGGCTCAGTGCCTCTCCCTGGAGAATCTGAGAAATAGAGACAGTCGTGGACCCATTGCCACAGGCCACCCCACACGGCTGCCCATGTGGGAATCAGCAGGCGGGGAGGAAGCCCAACTCCTCTGCCCCGAGGGGCCTTGCCTCGGAGCAGATCTGTGAGCCTAGTGTGAGGCACGTGGAGAGGCCGAAGCTTCCAGTTTCTGTTCTCTGTTCTGTGATAGTCTCCTTTCTGCTTAAAAGGAAGCCCTCTTTTCTAAGTGCGAGTCTGGCTGGTTTTGGGTTTCTCGTTCTATCATCGTGCTAGACCCTGCCTGAGGCCCCGGTGCCCCAGCCTTATGGTTTGCCCCAGCTCACTGCATCCTCTGTGTGCCCTGGGCTCGGGGTGGGGATACTACCCCGTTTGGGATCCTAAGGCCTTTGTAGGGCCTCAGTGGGACTTTGGGCTGGCGGATGCCAGGGCCTCCCCTAGGGAGGTCCCCTGCCTACAGAGACCTAGTTTCATCAGGGAAACTGATGGGTTACTTGGCCTGACCACTGCTTGTTGCCAAGGGGCAGGCAATGGGGTCTCTCATGGGAGTCTTCTTATTTCCCCTTCATTCTAAATAGATGAGGCACATGGGCAAGACTCCTGTCGTGGGGGCCGTCACAAGGTCTGACGTTTGGACAGCTGGACAGATGCTCTCCCAGAGTTTGTGTTGCTGAGCAAGAGGAGGCCTGGCTTGGGCGCATGGCCAGGCACAGAGCTTGCTGGAGGGACAGGAGGCTGGGCCGAGAGGAGCCTGGTTTGTGTCCTTTGGAAATGAAGATGGGGATGGCTTCCAGAAGCAGGGGCTTTGGAGTTGTCGGAAGACCACCTCTTAAGGCTCTTGCCCCCCCACGCCCCCACCCCCAAGTCAGGGACAACTGGTTGCTGGGTGCTGGGGGGGTTGTGGAGAAAGGCCCCTGGAAGCCAAGCTGGGGGAGAGGCAGACATGAGAGACTGAGCTGGCAGAGGCAGCGGCCCCACCAGGCCTTGGGTTTTTAGAAAATTAGGCTGAGGAGGAGGGTAGCAGGAGTTTGACCCTGGGTGAGATGATCAAGGCATCCAGAACAGTGAATGGGGAAAAAGTTCTGAGTGGAAGACAGCCTCGGGAAGGACTGGAAACCAACACTCTCCCAGGGAGGAGGACAGAACCCTACAGCTTCTTGGAGGCTCTGATGGAGCAGATCAGAGGGAAATTCTAGGGGGGAATTGGAAAGTTGGAGACCGAGAGAGAGAGAGAGAGAGAGAGAAGCATGGGGCAGCTCTATGAAACTTCTAGTTCTATTTTCAGGATTCTGAAATATACTACTTAAGCCGGACTAATGTCTTCATCTGGTGAAACTGCATAAAAAAGAAAAAACCCAGCAAAAGCATTTATAACTCTTAAGGTCTGGGATTCCTGATCTGATAGGCATCCTTGGACATTGGGCAGAAACCCTTATTCATGTCAGAATTGTGTGTAAGTATTTACTTCCTAACCCCCCTTTTTCAGAGCTTGGGGTAAATTCCTTGTAAACTTCTGCATAGAGTGCCCTGCCCCCATTCCAACAGTGTTTCGTAGTTAAGGGTGCTTCAGTGAGCTGGTTCCAGTAAATCCCGTGCCACCCAAGCTCCTTGTTGTCCTATCCTTGGTGCAAAAGCCCAATTGCCGATCTGTTTTGTATTCTGGGAAAAGCAAAAGAGAGTCAAGTGCTATTCAAATATCTTTCCCTATTAAATCTAAATTTTCTATTTCTTTACTGGAAGTATTCTGATCAGTCAAAACCTTAAGACTTCAGAGCACACCTTCACGTAGCTCATAGCAAATGGCAAAGACACTTATGGAAGGAATGGGCATTCCTAAAACCTCTGTGCAGCATGATGACTTCTCCGTTACCTGCTAATTCGAAGGTGGGGGTGTTGCTTCCTGCCTTGGGTCAGCCCCTCTGAGGTGGATTCATTTTTTGTAGACCCTCCTGCTCTTGCTTCTTCACAATTAGACTGTGAACTGCTCGGGGGCAGGGACTTTTGTTGAACCCACAGTCATCCTTACACAAGGCCCTTAGAGTACATGGGAAGTATTGGTGGAATGAAAATGCTTTGCGAATTCCACAAGTTTTGGGTTTGAAGCTCTGGCTTCTTGCTTCAGAGCACACACATTTTAAAACAAAGTTTGGTTAGGAAGGGCAACATTAGGCCCTGACCTTGACATATGGTGTTGACATGTTCTGCCCCCAGAACTCGTAGAGGAAGGGAGGACTGCTGAGGTCTCCACAGGGCAGTCTTCTCAGTCTGGGTTGCAGGGGTTGCAGGGGAACCTGGAGACCATCAAGACCCCAAACCCTCTAATTTACATGCAGGGAAAAGGGACCTATAGTTTCTGTGATTTTCATGGTTTTTTTTTGGTTTGTTTTCCTCAGTTGCAAAAATGTAACTTCTGGCATAACCTGGAGTATTTGCTCCCTAATCTCTATGTATTATGCAAAGGATGATCCAGGCCAGAGAGCTCCTTCCTTCTCAAACTCTACCATGTACACCCTTGGTTTCATCCCTTTCCTTCATTCAGAGGGTGACAAGAGACACAGGATCTTTGCACCAGCAGGGGTCGAACCCATCTGGATACAAAAACAATCCTGAGAGACATGTATGGTGGAGTGTTTGGAGGAAGGCAGCCTGAGTTCTTTTCTAGAAAGGCCTATGCAGGTGCCTGACTCAGGAGGATCAATATTCTGAAGTCTGAAGGCTGGACCTCCTCCCCTAGTCTCAGCAAGGGACGCATTGAGCTGAACTCTGCTCATCTGCTCGCAGCTGGTAACAGCTTCTGCTATTTGCATGGGGTCTCATCATTTGCTTTGAGGCACTTCTGTAGAACCCTCCCTCCAAGGAAGCAAGAGGAAGGCTCTAGCTATTGAGTGTTTTATGACGAGATCTGGAGTTGTCTCCAGCATCAGCCCACGGAGGCCCACGGTTGATGAACAGGACCAACACATCATCAAAGTCAGTTCATCAGAAAAGACACAAAGGAACCCACCCCCAAGATACTTTGCCTTGGAAAGAGCAGCTCATGAACAGAGGAGTAGGGCTTGGCCATCCCCTGGGCGGGGGGGGGGTGGGGAGACTTACCCAAGGGTACCTTCTTCCAGGTCACTTCATTCTGCTTCTACCTTCCCCTGTCCCATTCCTGCCCCACTTCTTGCCCAAAGGCAATTGCCAAATGGCACTTTAGTCAATGACCTGGGTCCCAGGGTGCCTAGCCCTGGAGGCCATACCAGAGTTGGGTAGCTAGGGAGCCAGGAAGACAGAGGGCTGGCTTCCTGGGGCCAGTGGAGACCTTTAAGGGCCTCCACTTTCCAGGGAGGAATCATGATATTGGCATTTAGGCCAAATCATGCCAGTGGATTGGATCTGGGAGATGTGGCTGAGTGTTTGTTCACGGGCTTCCAAACATTTAAGGATTGCACAGTGTCTCATTCCCATCACCCTTAAGGTAAAGGGGAGCACTACTCCACCACGAGATGAAAACACTGAAACAAATAGAGAACCTACTCTCCCTCCTCCATCTGCCAGGAGATCTCTGTGTGGCAGGTGAAAATATTTATGTATTTGACTTTACAATTATGACTCTTTCTCCAGGTACAGACACATTCCCACATTCAAGGCCTCATAGTTTTCAAAATAAAAAATGGTACCATGCCCACCGCATATGCTCAGAAAACAAGTGTTTGCTAAACTAAACCCCATTGAAGTTTTTACTGCAGGTGGTCAAAGGTGTTAAAAGCCCCAATTCTGCTCCTGAGAAACTCTGGAGTTTCTCTACTGGCGTGATGAGCAATTTGAGTTCCCCAAGAGGCCCTCCGGTGAAGTCTCATGCTTAGTCATGTTTGTGGAGGACAGCGTGAGGAATGAAAGGTATTCTAGAATGTCTGGGGACTTATTTCAACTTGAAATATCTAAGAATGTTACCATTTAAATATGTAAGAGCAATGATCAGACCCCGTCTGATGGCTAAAATTCTCATTGTGCCCCGCGTTGCATACACACACCTGGGTTTTGAAAGAAGATTGAGAAGAAAGGAATGTCGAAAACAAGGACCCAAAGCATTCTAGAAGATACCATTGGTCCAGGCTCTGGCCCTGGCAGGTAATGTCATGTTGCTCAATGCTGAATATTTCTTGGGGGCAGTGAAGCGTGGATGGGGTGGGGATGTGTGCCAAGGAAAATAAGAGCCACGAGCAGGATCAATGTCTTTCTTTTTGAGTTCCTAGCATCTCATAAAATCAGAGGAAAGGGGAGGGGAGGAAAGAGAAGGGGAAGATATTCATCCAACAGCAGGGAGCCAGGAAGAGAATATGCAGCCGCTTAGGCAGGATTCTGGGTCATCGTCTGTGGGGGAAAGAAACTCAATGAAGGTGCAGAAGTGTGGGTGACAAGCTGCCCTCCTCTGGACTCTCGGGGTCAGGGATGGCCTCCATTACGGAAGTGCTTGACTAGACGCAAAAGAGGGGCTGGGAACTGATGGGGGTCCTCTGCCTGGCGGGAGGAGGATTCCTGGGGAATGGAGGGGCACCTTCCCTTCCTCCTCCTTGCACCCACCCCTCCCTGCCCACTCCCCTCCCACCAGAGCTGTGGGCACGCCGCTAAGTCATAAACATCAGGGAGAGAGGCCGGTGGAGAGAGGTTCAGGGAAGACAGCCATGGAGAAGGATGCGGGCCGTGGGCTTCCATGCCCAGCCTGGCCTCCCAGAGACTTTGCTGGTTGTCCAGCTCCCTACATGACAGAGCAGCCAGAGGCCTCCCAGCCCACTCCTCTGGGGGACGTAGAAGGGGGAGAAGGGCCTCTCCTATCAAGTGAGATTCTCTTGTCATGCTTACATTTCTCATTTCCTTGAGCATTCCAGTCGAATCTAGCTCATTTTGGAGTCACACAGAGTGGGGCCAGTCCCAGTTTGGGAACATGTCAGGACAGAGAAATCACAGCACTTCTGTCTCCCCCTGGAACAGCTGTTTCGGGCCCACAGGTTCGCTTGCTCCCACTTTCTAGAACTCAAAACCAGCCGTGAACCCTTGCAGAAAGCCTGGGTTGGAAAGGGCCACGCCCTGGTTGCTTTAGGAGACCTCTGGGCTTAGCTGTGAATGGACACGTGGTCCACAGAATCTGTTTCCTTGGGGTATCATAGGTTCTGGTCTGGGTAAGCTGGGAGAAAGGAAGTGAGCTGGGGGCTTGAAGGAAGAGTGGAGAGGAGCAGCTGGCTAGATTTAGGGAAAGATGAGGTGAGGCTGTCAACATCGGAGGGATGTGTACGACCCTGGGCTGTGTGGGGCTGGGCCCCGGGGAGCCCCTGGAGAGCTTGTCCTAAGCAGCTCTGTCAGGTGACAGCGTGGATGTGTTTTGGGGGATATGTCAGGGTCAACTGTTAGGGAGGAGTGAGCAGGAGGGCCCGGGACAGGGAGTAGAGTCCCCTGTCTGTCCCCTGTTCTCATCCACACTCTGTCATGCCTGCATTTCTCAGACTCTCTTTTTCAGACCATTGCCAGTCCCTTCCCCCTCCCTCATCAGCCCATTTAAATATGGCTTGAATGGTGGTTGTCATGTTCACGGTGCCAAGTCCGCAACCCAGACTGGCCAGGGCATCCGTTCTCTGATAGATGTGACAACTTTGCCTTCCAGATGAATGTCAACATGACGTTTTCAAGTCCTTTAATGGGCAAGTCTGAGTATCAGTTAGTACCACCTATCCATGCCATAGTTGAATGCACTTACATCAGTATGATTTACTACATTTAGCTCTCCAAGGATCCCGGATTCTTTGTTTTTTATTTTTCCCTTTTATAATTTTGAGAATGTCTTTGCATTCAGCAAATCACTTTACTTTGAAGATGAGTAAATTATCCACTATTTAGTATCTTTCGTTACAGACTTGGGAGGGGAACTTTGTCAATATACTATCCAACTCTTTCGTAAGCATCTAGTTATGCAGTTGTTGTTGTGGAAACACATTTATCTTATGTTACTTTCTTCTCAACTATCAGTTCCCAGCATTGTCGGGCCCATGTATTTAGAGAACGCATGTTATGAGATGAGCTAGAAGATAATCGTCCTCATTCTCTCCCTTTCTGTGTGACTTCTGGCAAGCCATTCAATTGTCCTAAACCTTAATTCTTTATTTGAAAAATGGGATGGCAACCCAGCACTTCTACCTTGATAGGCAGATTTGGGCTGGAGAATTCTGCACACATAGGAGAAGAACAATGAAGCTTCTGTGCCTGAGATGCCAGGCATTTTTACTCCATAATTGGCATCAAGGGCAAGAACAGGGACTCTTTACTACGGGTAGATTTTGGCATGTGGCCCCAGCTTATGAAGAAACACACACTCACTCATCCTTTCCTATGATGTGCATTATAGGACCTTGTGTTTTTGGCTCCTGCCACGGTCTTGCCATTGGCTGCCTGTGCTTTTTGCCTTTAGCATCAAGACCAGGACAATTCACCATGAACTCCAAAAATGTTCATGGTTTGGGCCATGCCTGCCCCTCTAGCCTCATTTCTCTCAGGCCTCTCAAGAGCTCCGGGTTCCCGGCCCACTGTGGGCGTCTTCAATCCGCCATGTTTTCTTGGGCATTGCTCCTGCAGTTCCTTCTACTGAGAACACTGCTGGCCTCCCTCCCTGCTCCTGCCCATTTCAGCTAGGTAATTCTTACTCATCTTTCAGATTCCAGCTCCATCATATTCTTAGGCAAGCCCTGTACCTAGATTTGATTAGGGCTTTAAGCTCTCCCAGTGCCATCAGCTGCTCCTTTCAAAACACTTATCACAGAGAAGCGGGAGAGAATTACTTGTACTCTCCCTCCAGCAGGGGCTGTCCTTCTGCTCACTGTTATAGTCTTAATGTCCAGCATACCACAGGAACACAATAAGTATTTGTTGAATGAATGAATGAATGAGTGGGTCTAGTATTGGAGACTTGGCTTTGTGCCTATAAGAGAGGAAGCATCTGGACTTGGTGTTGTCCTGATTCCCAGTGAACACACTCTGGAGCAAAGCTCCAGAGACAGTGGTTCCTGCCCCTCGAACAAAGAGCCTGTTAGCTCAATGGCTGGGGAAGAGGCTGAGCCTTTTTCTTTTCTAGGGTAGGCCCCCAGCAGAGCCCTAGGGTGGTCGGTTTGCCTTCTGGCCCTTGGGACCCTTTAGGTCCTCACCCCCCTCAGGTGCCCTGGGCCTTCAGATCTTCCTTCATATTCTGGTAAGTTCCTATACCTGCTTCTCTGTTCTGTTCTGTCTCCAGTAACCTTTTCCAGCCCTGGCTGCAGGGCCTCGAGGGCCTGCCCCTCTCTGAGCTCCTCTTTGGGGTGTCTGTGTCCCTCCTTGGACTGTGAATTCTGTCCTGCCCTGGGCCTTGGCTTCAACTGTTGCCTTCAACTGCCACCAGAATGTTCTGTCCTTAAAGTTCTCAGGGGTTGGGGCTTAGCAGCCAGGGGGAGGATAAGACTTGGAGCCCAACGTCCAGGCTTTTACCTTCTGAGTTGGCTCTGCCTTCAGTATGCAGTAACCACACAGCAATGCATGGTGATTGGATTTTCTAACCAAATTCTTACCAACTTTTCAAGGCAGTCATGGCTGCCTGCTGGACCCCTCTGGCCCAGGTTCACAACCTCACGGGACCCTCCCTGCTGTAGCTGAGAAGAACCCTCTTGTGGGTACATTGGCAGACCCAGCTGAGGGAAATTGGGGGCCAAAGCCCTTCTTGCCACCTCATTTGGCCCGGCCCCCAGGGCAGCTCTAACCTCAGGCTGCAGGTGCCCTAGAGCGGCTTCCCCTCCAAGCCTGTAACCACCTCGGCTTCTCTACCCCACCAAGAGGGGGCCCAGCCTTAAGAGGGAGGGCAGACCATGTTCATGATTCAAAGAGACACTGCCAAGGTGGCACTTGGAGTTGCTTCCCCTTCATCACCAATGTGTTTATCTTTGAGAAAAATGAACTTGTATCCCCTATCCCCTCAAATCACTCAGGTTCAGCCAACTCTCTTCTGGGCTTCTGTCTCAACTGGGAAAGTTGGGGCTTCCTGTCTTTATTTGATTATGTCTTCAATCAGACCCTGATGGTTTGTACCTGGAAGCTATAGGCCCATCCAGTGGTCCCAGGTCTTACTCTGGCCACTCTTCGTCCTTCTGGGACGGGGCATCGTTTGTTCCTCTCTTTCATTCATTCATTCATTCATCCATTCATTCATTTAGTATCTGTTGAACATCTATATACCAGGCAATAGCTAGGTACTGGGGCTACCAAAAGTGCCAGGCATACAGAAACGGATGTTTGCCCTTAGAGAGCATCCAATCTAATGGGTCACCTGTGTGAAGGGGGAACCTGGCTGCAGGGAGGTACGTGACCTCATGGTGCAACCTGAGGCTGGGGACAAAAGCCAGGATGCCATGAGAACTTGCAGACTGGGTTTAGAATTTGAGTTTTTGTCCTAGAAGCCTTGGGGAGCCATGCAAAGATTTTAAGCAGAGGAGAGACCTGGTCACATCACATTTGGGGTTTTTTGCAAAAGACACTAGCAGTTGTGTGGAACACCCATTAAAAGAAGGGGAGTGAGATCGGGTGGGGAGCCCCTTGGGCAATGCTGGTGGCCAGGGTTGAGGGGGCTTGGGGAGGAGTGGTGGAAAGCATAACCTGAGTGGAGGGGGATGGGAGACCGTGGGGGTCGACTGGGGGGTTGGGGAACCCAAATGCAGACACCAGAGGAGGGACACGACTTAAGACAGGTTTGGGGCTATTGAGTTGAGGTGCCTTTAAAGGGAGGGGATATTTGGGTAGGGAGCTCCTGGGAGAGATGTGGCCTGTAGATAGCCATTGGTGAATTATCTGCTCTATGCGTCTATTCCGTAGGAAGGGCAGAGCTCGCTGGGGAGAAAGATTTCAAAAGTGAGGGCACCTTTGGGGCAGAGAGGAGAATCTCTCAAAGGAGGCTGAGGAGGAACAACCAGAGAAGGAGGAGGGACGCCGGGGAGTCGTGGCGTCACTAAGGCCTTGAGAGAGGATCTCTGTTTTCTCTCCACAACCATTTGCCTTCATGACAAACATAGCTCCTTCCTCCTGAATGTGGCATGTAGGGAGCAGAGTGGGAAACCAGTGCTAATGCTGTCTGGGAGGGGTATGCAAGCATTCAAAGTACAGGCAGGAGGGCCAAGGGAGGCTCTGGCAAGCTCTGTTAGATTTGGTGGCAGGGACAGGTACATCTGAGAATTGAGGACAGGCATGGAGAAGCTTGTGGAAATTCGAGGCTGGGTGGGAGCATGGGTCCATGGTCTGTGAGTTCAGGGACATTAAAAGGAGATCAGGGGACAGGAGATAAAGAGTCTCTTTGGAGGTTGGGGGAGATGGTCTGAGGGGAGAGCAAGGCCATCTTCCATGGCTTGTTGGGTCTTGAGATAGAAGTGCTTTTCCTGGCATGGGTATGTTTTTTAGAGAAGCAAGGATCAGGAGGAGTTTGTCACTGTTAAAGGTAAGAGAACAGTCGGAGGGGAGGACAGGATACCATAAGGAAAACCAGTGAGGCTCTGGAGGTCCCTGAAGGGAATAGGTCAGTGATACAGGACTGTTATTCCAAATGTATGTGGCCTCTGAGAACATCTCTGACGCCCGTCCAGACTTTTTAGAGCTGCTCAGAGCACACAGAGCATGCAAACGGCCCAGAGAAAAGGGGCAGTGGAGAGGTAGGCTGAGAGAAGCCAGGAGGGTCAATGTGGGCCGCAAGTTAAGACAACCTCAGCAGGTAGAGGCAATGCATCAGATCTCCTCCTCCACTCTCTGGGCCAGCATGCCACAGCCAGCGCTGCCAGGCTCCTTCACCCCTGCCAAGGCACTGCGTCTGGGCACCATTTTGTGCCTGGCTTTCCCAGGTAGCCTCTAACTCGAATCCCTCATGGTAAAGCTCTACGGCATCGAGGCAGGGCAGTCCTGCCAAGGTGCCGGCTTAAGGCCATGGCCAGAGAGAAGGTGGGGGGCTGGGGGGACAGGGGAGAAAGAGCAATTTTGGACCCCCTTTGGGGTGTGGCTTCCTCATGCCTACCAAGGCAAGGCATCTGTTGAGACAAAAAAGTAGGTTTTCAAGGAGAAACAGGAAACTCAGTGTGGATACCAGTGGGGGCCACTATTACCCCAAAGGGATAATTTTGGAGTGGTTCTCCCAAGGATGGGGGGTGACAGCACTGCACCTCCGGGCTTCGATTTCCCCACTTGTAAAATGGAGATAAGAGAATAGCCTCTACTTCAGAGAGTCGTTGAGGGTTCTGTGAGTTAATTTTTGTATAGAATATTTAGAAAAGCCAGTCACATCACAAATGCTGGTAAATACTATCACGATTTCATGAGGCATTGTCCATTTACATGAAATTCTTGGACTTTGGGGTCACAAACAACATCTATTGATGTGACTCGATGCTGCTCAACAAAGAGGCAATCCAGTTTAATGATTAAATAGCAATGATGATAAGGTTCAAATTTAGGATTACATATTAGGATCAGTTTGAAGAAATTTTCCATGAATGCTTATTAGAGTGGAAAGGTGGAGAGTTAGGTGTCAGAAGACCACAAATATTTTTTCTAGGATCTTCCACAGGCTAGACTTCACTGGCCATCGTGATAGAAATGGTACTTACATTGGCAGAGCTGATGAGTCTGTTGTGGTGACAGACACAAGTTAAAAAAATAATTACAAATTACGATTAATGCTATGAAGGGGAAAAACCCCAATGGGAATAAGAGGTTGGAGGTACCTAACTTTAGACCATGAAAATCTCTGATAAGTTGACGTGAAGCCAACGATTGGCCACTCAGAAGTGATGAGGGAGGTGTTTAGGAGGTGAGGAGAGCATTCTGGTTTGGAAGGTGATTTTCTTTCCCAATTAGGTAATCTCAGGCAATTCTGTGTGCACCGATTTCTACATCTGTAAAATGAGGATAAGACTACCTATCCAACTGACCACAACAGAGCCTGTGTGAGGATAAAATGAAATGTTAAAGAATTCTGCTAACCACAGACAGAGGCACAGACAAAGAATCCATGAGGAAAGAACTCACTGATCATTTCCTTTCACTTTTTCTACTCATTAAATTTGGTTCCTGTGTATGACAGGACTATAGTACACAGATGTCTCTTTGGGAGGCACAGTGGCTAAAGGTCATATTGAGAAGTCATGACCATGGTGTTATGATTAGCAGTGCAAGGAGAGAGGGGTGTGGAAGGGAGACAAAGGTGATTTTCTGGATAGGAGATGGCTGAGCTGAGCCATAGGAGATGAGGGGGGAAAGTTGAGGTTTTTGTAAAGCTGAAAATCTGGAGAAAATTTTAGTGGGGGAAGTTGGTACGTATTTCAGTGTTCAGTAGACACAAACCCCTCTAGGACCTGTCCTTGGGGAAAGTCATAGTTAATGTTACTTAATCTTCACCAAGCAGCCATTTAATTCTAGAAACAGAGAGGCAGATGTGCTTTTCCCCGGGTGCTCAGAAACGTGACTTCCATCCAATAGATCATCAACAAATGTTTGATGTATTGAGGGGTACTCCAAAATGGGAAATATCCGAGGAGAGCACTGCCAGGCTGCCCTGCAGTTTCTGGGCTATAAGGGAGTCCCATGAGATCAGGGTCAGAACTCTCTGTGGGTTGCAAAAACATCTTCTTTCACATGCACAGTGAAGCAGGACAAGGGCTACAAATCAACGAATCCCGGAAATGTTCTGCTCTGGGGAGAAGCATCTTCCCAGGTTGGACAGTGGGGCATCAGCCATTGCCATGTTTCCCCCTTCAGTCTGAAACCCACAGACCATGCCACACTGCTCATTAGGTCACAGTGTCATTGTGGACATGGGTGACCCGCCAGCCAGTATGTCTATAGCTTCTGAATGGCATTTTCTGACTGTTGCTGTATTGGTGAAAAAGTTTAAGGAGAAAGAGGCATCTGTTGAAGTTGCCTATAGCAAGACATAGCAAGGTCACATTCTGATAAAGACATTTTCTCAACCACACTGTTCATCTCAAAAGAACAGAAGTGCTGAAGCAAACATTCTAGTTCTAGGTGACCTTCAGGTGAAGGGGTGAGATAGGAACCCTCTGGAATGGAGGGAGGCAGGGAGAGAGAAGGGTCTCTTTCATCCTGGAGGGGAAGGTCAGAGGGAGAAGAGACTGATTTTTGTGATGCCACGGGTTTCAGGTTTTCCATGGCCTTTTTGAGGCTATTGCCCGCCAAGTTTAGACCCCCATGTTCAAGGTCACTTCCAAAGGAGTCCATGGAAAACACCTTCTCAAGCTAAAAGAGACTTTGACTCTTGAAACTGTAAACTATAAATGCTATATAAATGCTAATTTTTATGAATGGTCTTGTATAGGTAAAGAGGAGCGATGAAGGAAGACATTTGAAATAGAAAAGTGTAGAAGGAGCCAAGAGAAACTAAGGGCTTTGAACAAGAAGCGGCAGGGGAGTTGGGTCAAGACAGGTCAAGAGTTTTGTGGAGCAGATTCCTAATATCTCAAAGAAGGAAGCCAAACTTATTCAGTGTTAGCAGAAATAACTCTCTGTTTCCTGCAGAGGTGAGGAGAAGCTGGGAGGCCAGCTCAGAGCTGCTTGGGCTTGTAGGGGAGCACATGCTGGGATGAGGGGCCCAGAGGCAAAGGGTTGACCATTTCTTGTCTTCCACGTGTCTCTTTTTCCGCTAACAGCCACCTGTCAGCAGTTCACGGGCGGGCTCCAGACTCAGCAGGAACGGAGGGAACTCACTGCAGCTAGTGGAAGGAAGACCTCACATGGCCAAGTGGTCAGTTCTCCCCTAATGGATCCCAGCATTTGACACAATTCCAATCAAAATTGCAATGGGAATTTTTTAATCTTGACATGGCATTTCTAATGTTTATTTGGAAGAATTTATTTTGGAGGAACAAGTAAAACTTACACACACACACACAATAGGTAGCAAGTAGAAGCTTGTATTGTTAGATTTTGAAACATATTTTAAATCTGAAATCTTTTGAACAGTATGATGCTGGTGGCCAAATAGGTCAATGGCAAGGAATAGAAAGCCCAGATATGGGTTTATTTTTGCCTTCTCTGCTTTTAGAGGAGTGGCATTTCCATTTAGAACAGTGAGTGATAGAGATGCATCACCGTTTGGAGCAAAGCAAAGTAAGTTTCCTATTCATTGCCATCGTTGTGCAAAGACTGGGACAAGGGTGTCATCAGCCAAGAGTGCCATTTTTCTTTGGCCCCAAGTTCCCCATTGTTTCATGTCAGGTCACATTGTCTCCAGTTCCTTGGCCATCTTCCTTTCGGTACTGAACGTTCTTTATAGCTGAAACCCGAGATCTGTCCAAATTCTGTGAATTTGCTGGTGTTCCCAGTTTTTTTTAAAGATGTGAGGACAAAGGCGAATGAGGGCAGTGTGAAGCCTCTGACATCCAGCAGTGCTGGGGGAGCAGATGCAGGGTCTCCAAAATCACTCCCGGCTACTTCAAAGGCTTTTCCTGTTTTCTGAAATTCATCCAATCTCTTTCTACCCCACCACCACCATGGCCACCCTCTAGATTATTCTTCAGCATCTTGAGTCAGTGATGTTACTGAATAAAGGTGGCATTCCAACTCAGTGAGCAAAGTGTAAACCATGCAACAGTCGACTCAGAAATCACCAAATTATTATTACTGTTCAATGAGTAATTACTGAGCACCTGCTTGCGGGCAGGCCAGGCATGGTTCTGGGGGCTGAAAACCAGCATGTGAACAAAATGTCTTTGCCATCCCAGGGAGCAGTGAGTTTCTAGGGAAGGAGAGACACAATGAGCTTAAGAACCAACCATCCTATAACTTGACAGGTGGTGGCTGGTGAAATGAAGAAAAATAAATCTGGCCAGGGAGACAGAAACTGCTGGATGTGGGTGGTGGTCAAGGAAGGCTTCTTGGATAGGGTGGCATTTGGGAAGAGGCCTGAAGACTCATGCAGATCCGTGCCATGGAGGTATATGGGGAAGAATGTTCCAAGAAGTGGGTGTAGCAAGTGCAAAGGATTGGCTACCCGAAGGCAGATCAGTGTTTACACTTCTTCCTCTATGCAGTAGTTAATGTCAGTAATCATGCAACAACCAGAAATGATTCCCTCTTTAGTTTTAGAACAATTTAAACAACATACATTTCGCTTTCAAGATAATAATTCAATTTCAGTAAAATATTGTACAATGACCTTAACTGTGTATGTTTGTCCTTTTAAAATCTCCCCAAACTACCCCTTACAGAATCACACTATGTTCGCTGTGTAAACCTGAAACACAGGTAACTCCCAAGGGGTCAGATGGAATGACAGAATGAAGGAAGTCAAATTCTGATTTTTTGACTCTAGAATCATTGTGCTATGACTGGGTCTTTTGAACCTACTGCTTAAACTCAAACTCAGGGATATGCAGTGCTGGGGACTGGAGACACAAACTGTACCCAGAGCAAACTCAAATGATTCCAAACCCTTATCAACCACACTGCAAAATGCCTGTCAATGAATCTATTTACATAGACCTCATATTTGTCTTTATGTGTACATGAGTGCGCAGGGCTGTGCCTGTGTGTGTGAGTGCCCTCTTCCCTGCTCCCCAATTCCCCAGAATATGCTCCCCCGCCAACTTGCAGCATTTGCCAATCTATAGAGTGGGCAAATGTTCCTCAGTGACATCTGTGGCTGAAGTTGGGTTACATCAGGTGGCTCCCAGCGGCAGGTGCTTTGGACCTGTGTTTCCAGTGCTCTGATTGGAAGAATGAAAAATTAGTCTTCATCAAGCTCAGGTCCCTGAGGATTTTGTGTTTCTGACTCTTCCCCATCGAATTTCCCCATCCTCCAGCTGCTTCCCTTGTCCTGGCTTACCTGGGCTCCTGTTTGGGATCTTTAGGGCTCTACTGGAGCAGCCAGATGCACAGAGGTTGGGAGTGAGAGTACCATGACGAACACCTTAAGGGCATCCATTGTGCGGTAGAGAGACGGCTGTCCACTCTTCCGTTTGGATGGATCCCAGCTCTGACTGGGTAGCCCCACAAGGCAAAACAGCATTATTTCATATGGTTGTAAGATGCCCAGGTTCGCTCATTTTCAGTTAAGTTGGCAGAAATTTTTAAATGCCACTCAGTTTACCAAAAGACTGCCCCTCCGGCTTTTACCTGCTTGGGAATTTAGTAGGAGAACAGCAGAGTGTCCCTTTGCCATTATTAAACAGAAGTTCTGGGTGCCTAATCAAATCGTTTTCTTGAATTGCTGTGAGTGCCTCTGCTGGGGAGAAGCTGGAAGGGATGAGGTTAAGAGGGGCTTTATGTCTTGTCTTGGTTTTGCAGGTGACAGAGAAGATGGTACCTGAGAGCATTACCCCTCAGCTTGCTCACGGGGCGATAGGGATTCCTTTAATGGAGGACCTCTCCTTGGGACATGACTAATATGGGTACCCTTAAGGGATGCGGTGATTGCTGTATTTCTATAACATCCAGTTGTTGTTGGCTTTACGATGAAGACTTTGTATATAGGGGTCTGCTTGCTTAGAAGTTGAATGTTGGTGATCTGGGATAAGCCAACTGGGCTGATAGAACTTGCCTCAACCTCTAGGTGGATCCTTGAGTTACCAGATCACTGGGTCTCTGACCACAGGGTCCGAAGGAAATCCAGGCTATTTAAAAAAACATTTTTTTCTTTAGAAAAAACATGTTTACCCATGTACACTCTGAAAAAGGAGATTTGGGTCGCCAGTGAAGGCCACTCTGTTGCCTCAGAGGGCCTGCAGCGTGAAGTCAGCCTTAACTGAAGAGCTTTTCTTCCGCCCGGCCGGGACACCCTCAGCTTCTTTCTCAGCCGAGGAAGAGCAGTCTTGTTTAGCGTTCTTCATTTTTTTTCCACTCACAGCCTCTTGTCCATTGGGTGACAGGAAAAACACTAACTTGGGTTTTGTGTTATTTACATTTTAAGATCCTAATTCAACTCCATCTGGTGCTGTTTGTGGAAGGGAAGAGGCCTCCGATAAGCACAGCTGGGGAGGAGATTTTCCAGCGCTGCTGTCCTGATGTTTTGCTCACTTTCTCCCAGCACGGAAGACCGTCTGCAAAGGATCAGAGAAGTGAAAGAAATCTGAAGACAAAATACGTCTTCGGAATTTCACCAAGTTTTTGGATTTGAATGGAGAAGGATGAACAATGCGGTGTGGAACTTGGGATCCCAGAAGGTTCTGGAGGGTCTACAACTCACTGCCTGTCCTTTAAATGCCCCCATCCTTCCCTTTCAGCTTCATGTCCATGCTCATTCATGGCCCAGCTGAAGAAACAAAAGGAAAATTAAAGTGTCTATGATCAGGAGTTTGGGTCTTTAGATGGGGGAGGGACCCGAGAAGACGTTCCACTGACATCCTGTTTTTCACAGACTGATCTGAGGTCTGTTGACCCCCACGACACACCTGTGTCTTCCAAGTGATCAACCCTGGTCTACAGATAATGAGCGGAAATGCATGTTGTTGCAAAGGACGACGGTTTCCTTTCTAGATGGGCAGGGACATGTGGGGTTAGGATCAGAACTCTCTGGGTCTTTAGTATACTATTTTTTTTTCCTTTTTTTAAATGTGGACTGGGTAAATGTTAAAAATCACAGTTTTTGTTTACTCTGTGAGTGAATTCTCCTACCTGGGCCTGGAGGTCGAGTCTGTGCCATAGCCACGTTTTCTGTTCATTTTGGGGTCCCTGGATCTGTGTTCTGTCACAGGTGACATCATAAGACTGTAGAAGGCCGGGCAGCCATTCAGAGAACTGTGACACTTGCTGGGAGGTGTGCATGAGTGTCCTCTGGGGAAGGGGATACTTCTCTGGTGATGTAGAAGGAGAGAACCTTTGGAAAGTCATTTGATGAGTAAGCTGAGTGTCCCCTTCCAGTCAGGAGAGGCTTAAAAAATGCTTGGCAGCTCTTTCATGAGGCGTTCAGGAATTCCAGGGGGCAGGGCCGCCTGACAGTCTTACAGACCTGAGGGTAAGGGGGAAGTAGTGGGTGAAAATGGGAGCTGGTGGCGGGGGCATAGGAAGGACGTAATAGCGTGAAATTGGGGTGTATGGAAGGACAGCAGGCGCTGTGGTCAGGAGGCTTCTGAGGGGGATGTTTTGAGATCAGTAAGAAAGAGCCTAGGGCTTCTCGGGCAGGTGTAGTTAACAATTTTCAGTCATACTAGCCTCCGTGTGAGGATCAAACCCATCATTCTCAAAGTGCCTGTGTAACCTGGTCCCCCTTCACCTCACTTCCTCACCTGGCCTAGCACCCTTGTCCAGGGTGACTCTTCTCATTTCTGGTTGAGGCATGAAGGCAATAGGTACTTCATTGGAGCAGAAGCTTTTTTTGTGTGTGTGTTTTGAAGCTAAAATAGTATCAGTCCAAACCAGATTGTTGTAAATTTAGGAGATCAGTTATAATCTGCATGACATTTAAGAAATAACTAAATATCTAAAATAAATGGAGATATATATATTCAAAAATATATAGAAAATAAAGAAGAGAATCAAAACAATTCACAACAAAATCAAGGAAACTCCATGAAGAATATGGTACTGGAGTAGACAAATATAAGGTATGCAGAAATCAAAGAGAAAAAGGCAGAAGTGTCCTTATCAGTGATTCCATGTAGTAGGTTAAACTCTCCAAAATGCAGTGACTGATGGAGGGAAAAACCAAGATCCAACCTTATCTTGTCTACATAAAACTTGCTTCAGATGTAACATTGAAAAAGGATGAAGAGGACAGTATAAAAAAGATGCTCTATGTAAGTCATAACCAAAGAGAGGCATGGAGTCTATATTAAAAAAAAAAAAACTAGACTTATGTGCACACAGTGAATCATGGAACATA